TTGTTCATAAAAGTAATATAAATCAAACCAAGAATAACCTTTCTAAACTATGATGAATTCCATTTTGTTCTTACTTTTCCGACGAGAGAAGCACTAACTATTTAGGAAAATCAATATTTTGAAATACAAAGGTGACAACCTACGAGAGATGATTACAGAGCAGAACAAGATCATCATACCCTACAAATTGAAAAATCAACTTCATAAGATTTATTTTTGAAAACTTTGTATTTTCTTTTGATCTTTGTGAATCAAAACCGATCGTAGATTTCAGAGGTCATTACCAACTGATACTTAGAGTTATTCTATAGAAGTATGAATTGGAATCACAAGTGGTAGCAATCAAAACAATTAATGTACCAATCATTGAAAAACCACGTTTTTATTTTGTATCGTTTTAGCTTTACTATAACATTAAAACAGTAATTTTACTTATGATTTTCATATCATTAAGTTTTCATGATTATAATCATTTGCTATCTACTAGTCATATTATTGATACATAAGATTCATCAAAAAATTATCGTGATACTGGCTTAGTTTCATTTTTTCAAATTTCAATACTCCTGAAGAAGTAAAGCATTTCAATAAAAAAAAAGAGGATCAATGGTTTCGTCTTGATCATATTAACTCTACGAAAAAAAATAACGTCTTTGTAACGTTCTTTTGAATGCGTAACTGTTAACAATTTAAAAGAGTGAGCTAGAAACAATAATGGATTTATTAGCGGTTTCAAATCTTATCAAATATTTTATTATACATCTGCAAGTGAAACACAGTACTTTATCGAATATGCAGATCAATACTTTCCATCATCTTCAAAGTTTGCTTCGGATGAAAGAAATATTTCAATAGTGGTTCAAAATAAATTATATTAAGTCGGTTTTCGATGAAATCTAAATTAACGCTTGGAGAGAAAAATAAATTAAAGCAATTACATGTAAAATAAATCTCAATGAACCAATTTTATCTGGCATAATGTGCAAATATTGCTGCAGTTAAAATGAATTAGCAAATGCAAAAAGAAAACTTATCGATTCTGTAG